CATTATCACAATTTAAATCACTGTTTGTCATTAACACTGTTTTTTTGGCTGACTGAATACATAAAATTTTCAATTTCCTTCACGGTTTATTCTGATGCTAGGCCAATATTTTCCACCAAATTCTGAGATGTATAAAAGCAGACATGTAACATAATATTTTCGTAAAAGCTTACGGCTTCAATTAAGAAGCTTTAATAAAATTTAACGACGAAGTTAGGCTTTGCACGGCAAGGCATTAGCGGAAATTAAAAAAAGTACATATCTCTTAATAGAAAATGGAACATTCATGTCAAAAAGAAAAGTAGTCTGAAAACTTAATTTTAAAAAAACATTCTGATTGTAAAAGAAAACATTCTTTAAGAAAGTAGACCATAAAATTTTCTTGGTAACTGAATAGAAATTAGAGTACAACGATGATCAAAATTTGTATACATATTTCTTATGTAGGCATTGGATGTTAAGAATCTGTTTATCAAAATTTTTTGAAAACTTCTGAAACAAACTTTTTAATTTAAAAGTAATTCAAATAATTATTTTCAGACCACCAAGTATCAAACAGTCTGTTATTACGCAGGTTTTGTTCTAATTTACTGAAAATCAATTATTTCATGATGTTATTTTTCAGACTAGTATTCTAACTCTTAATTTATGACTTCCTTTTCTTAATTAATAAAAAATTAATGTTTCTGCCGGGCACAATGTTCAACAAAACCCATTTCACTTATTACTTTTCCGTTGAGTCTACAGGTGTAAAGTAGCGTAACAAGACCTTGCATTCTTTCAAGATGGAAACACATCAGAAACGTCCAACCGACCCATTATTATGCCCTCAACGAAACCCGTTAAACGGCCAAGCCCCCGACAACTAGTCAAAATAATACCGTGTAATTCCCATTGGCTATTACGTAAAACAAAATTAATACTAAGTACCTTCAACGGCACAACAGTAATTTGTTGTAAAAGCAATGCAATTGTTTGTTATTTATTCTTTAGCGAATCGTTCAGCTGAAACCTGGACAACTATTGCTTGTGTTCAGTGTGTGATACAGAGTAGTACTTTTTACTATTTACAATAAATTTTTAAACGTTTGTTACTGTTTAATTACAATTACACATTCACAATACGAAACCTTCTTCTTCTTTCAATTTTAAATTATGTATGAGATGTTGGGAATATTTTTTTTAGTCCAATCAAGTGCTTGTTGGCTTTTATTTGAATTAGGCGATTATGATTGATTTTGATTGAAATGATGTCTGTAACTGCAGTTTTTAATTCCATTTCATTAAAAGTAAACAAAATCCGACTGACTGTCCATTCCAATTAAGCGTCAATATCGTGTTTTTAATAACAATTTACTTTGAAATCTCACATCTGGCACATCCGCATGCAGCTTTAAGACGTCTCGTGATACGTAGACCGATTCAATTACAATCAAAATGGCATTGAATTAGAAGGTACAGAATAATAATTCTAGCACTTCATCATCCTAAGGTAGTCAGTCCTAAGACTGGTTGGACACGCACTTCCACTCTTTCCTATCCTGAGCTAGTCTTCGCATTTCCCCAAAACTAGAACAACCCACATCTACTTGCGAACAGTAATCTAATCTAGGTCTACCTTTACCCCTTCTAACTTTCGTTTCTGCCTCTAATATGTCTCTGACTAGACCTTCAAGACGGAGAAGGTGTCCTACTAACATATCTCACCTATTTCTAATTGACTTCTATAGAGTCCTCTGTTCTCTTACTCTTTCTCTTCATTTCTACCCTTCTCTATCCACGGTATCCTCATCATTCGCCTATAACACCACATTTCGAACGCATCTAACCTTTTTTTTTCAGCCGCGCCCACCGTCTATGTTTCGCACCCTGTACAACGCTGCGCTCCAAACATACACCTTTATCAATCTTTTTCGAATTTTTAAATTAATCGTTCGCGAGCATAGAAGTGACTTCTTTTTATTGGAAGCGACTCAACCCTGCGCTATCCTCTGCTTTATACCCCTCCTACTCCTTCCGTCATGACTTCTTAGATACCTAAAATCAGCCACTCCTTCTAATTTTTGGTTTCCTATCTTTATATTCGCACTTTCTCCACTTTTTCTTTCATTGCATACCAGTATTTTTGTTTTATTTTATTTATTTTCATACAATACTGTTTTGTCAATACCGCTTCCATTTTATTTAAAGCAATCTCCTCCATTCTAGATGTTAATCCCGAGTGATCCA